TAAACTATTTGCTCTAGCCCACTAGCTTCTCGTCTGTGGAACCAAAATATGTCAGACGTTGACCAGAAGAAGAAGGTAGAGCTAAATTTGCTTTCAGAGAGGAATATTTCTTCCCATGATTTAGTAACACGTACCTTATAGCAAAAGTACTTAGAAGCTACAGTAAACGAATCACATAAATCAAAGATGTTCAGCTCAATGCAAACATCTCAAGGTGATGATCTCAACGACAGCATAGATTTGATATTTATAATTTGTTCTATATCTTATATGTTTATTCAATTCGAAACGGGCATTGGCAAATAATCAGTTTGCTTCCAGCAGCTGTCTTCCGATAGCAGACGGGTCCAAATTGCATCAAACAGAAAGTCTATGCAGATAACCAAAGAATTTATGACTGAAAAAGTCAGGCCATCGTCGAAATTGGTTATCATTGACTATAACAGGGCTCTTCAAAAGTCATACTTCAATTCTTGCGAAGTAAATGATGACGTGCCAAGGCAAATTACAACATATATTTGCTTTATGTGCGCAAACCTTCCTGTAAACTCTCAAACGAGCAGTGGCCCATTCTTCGCTAGAATCTAGACGGATGTACACTTTGCTGACTTACTGTTACTCTCGTTAAATAAAACGTTTAATCCAGTGCAGTCACCTGCGAAACAGACTGGTCGCAAATGGGAACTATGCCATGAATGAATAAACAATGCAACTGTCTGTAGTAGTCTTGTCATTTTATTCAACAGTGATGTTTCTTGAATGACTCTAATTGTTATAACGTATATATGTTGGTCTGACGACCAGCATATCAATACCTTGGCAAAATGTAAGATATTAAACATATTTACTGTGAAAAAGCGTAGAAGACGGTTCGTGAATACAAATGAGATGTTGAAATTTTTGCATATTTTCATAACCGCTTGATTAATATAGCCGGAAGTCGTCGTTGGCATAAAGGGAAGCACTGCTTGTTTAAAGCAAAGCATCATTAAAGCTCTGGGAATTCCATACGCTATAGGAAACGCAGTTAGCCGTTTCGGAAGACGACTCGATAAGCAAGGAAATGTCTCTCCAGCTGTGTCAAAGTATGAAAACGCTGTCGCGGTCAGCATTTCAGGTATTTGTCGCAACTTCGTTATTTTGAAATGCCAAATATTTTGTTCATGAGGCCGTAGTCATATAAAAATGCATTTTATGCAGCATAACCTCAGATAGTAGACTTGATGCTCAAATTGCAATATTATTTGTGATTAATCACAAACCGTATTGTGAATATATTCCATGACTACAAACTGTAGCTATTTGTGATTCTTGATACGCCATTGAATCATGTTATTTTAAACATATGATCTTTCGAGTTTCAGTCTAAGGTAAAATTCAGAATTTTTGCAGATTTGTTACGAGATTATAGAACATATTTTGAAAATCCAATTTTGTGGTATGTGAGAAAGTTTTACAAAGGAACGTAGTCGCCCTTTGGTAAGAATGTTAGCATTGCATCTAGATGTTGACGCCACAATGGCGTTAATTGACTATTTGCATATATTAAAAACAAAAACTTTTCACTATGATTGTAGGTTGTTCTTTCTTACGCTATCTGCCCATTAAATAATTGATATGAAAGAATAATGCTCTGTCGACTAAAACGTTTCTATTCAAAACTGATTAGGAGATACTGTAATTAAAGCATAAAATTTGTTTACTTTTCTTCTTGTCACCTTATTTTAGACGTTGTGCCTGCCAGGCTTGCTTCGCTCAGTGAGTCTAATGATGTTGGCGAAAACCGCACAGAAGGAATAACGAATATTCGAGATCAGGACATCGACGCCACTATGGAGATGGAGAGAGAAGGCAATATTTTAAATGAAGAGAGTTTATATAAGGTGGAAACAGAACACGATGATTCGTCGTTGACTCCTGAAGGAGAATACTGGCAGCCACGTGTGGTAGATATTGTTTAATTCTATATGACAAAACTTGAAAATGATAGTTGAAGATGATCATAATTCAGCGCAGAAATATAACAGACTCTTAAATGTATTGGTTATAATGTCTTAGACAAACTTTAAAAACCTTTTCGCATAGTGTATGGGAAGCAGTTCCAGAGAACGTCTGTTATTACTTGCGGTATGTCCAACAATACACAGTGATTTTGAGTTAGTTGCTACTATTTTAGACTGCTGTTGAAGAAACTCCGTTGGCACCAATGCCTCGTCGAAAGAAGTATAACTTACAGCGCCAGTTTTCGCGTTATGAGAAAGACCGGATGAGAAAGGTAAGGTCCGGCAAGACGTTATCGAAGAGTAGATTTTCTGGCCATTGATTTGACGTTCGATTGAAGGTCCCATTGGCTGCTCCCATCGAAAGCATCAGGGTAGATGATTGCACGTAAGGCGCAGCATTAGTTGTACCCAAAATAACTATTTAGCTATCGAAAACACAGAAGCGATGGATTATCGCATCGGCAAACTGTGATTACGACGAAATGGTCCAGTTGCTGGAACAAAATCCAGAACTTGCAGATCACGTAAACTTCGTTAACGGCTTTACAGCTTTCCTGTGGGCAGCGAAACATGGTCACAAGAAAGTGCTGCAGCTGCTGGCCAACAATTTTCCCATCGATGTCAGCCGTGTCTCGGTATGAATTTTCATTGTTCTCGTGAAGTTTCAAAACGCTTCTTTTATTATCGCCGTTTATACAAATGCTTTGATGCTAACTTTCGACAAACGTTTAAGAAAGTAAGTCAATTCGTATTTAATGAAAATGACTCATGAATAGATTTTGCTTGTAGGATGTAAGCACAATTATCTTATTTGGTGTACGAATGTGACATCGTTATTAAAGGGTTACACAGCTTTACATTTGGCGGCTATGCACGGACATGTTGCTACCATGAAGATTTTGGAAAAGACATACGGTAATGTTGAAAGTGTCTTTTACAATCACTTTGTGTTTTACGTAAGGTCATATATTAGAACCAGTATACAATATACGATGGTTAATCTTGTGATTAGTTACTACCAATGTTTCGGCTTGTGTTTCACTGGCCTTCCTCAAGGTGGAACGGGTCCCTTCATATGGCCCCATAATAATGTCCCATACTTACTTACTAAGAAA